GTCAAACCAAATGTTGCGTCAAAATTTTTGACTGTAATCAAAGTGTAACTATAACCGGAGTTAAATTAAATAGTTTTACATATTTGAGTCTAAGCTTTATTTCACTGTAACAGGTAGTGTGACTTTAAGCAGAGTGACTATATGAGGAGTCGATTTTAACTAGATTCATCTTCACTAAAGTTGACATCTATTACCTTCCGTCCCAGCCACCAGTTAATTGTGGAGAGCACCGTCTTTGTTGAAGTTTTCTTCTAGTAAATAAACATATCACAATTTGGTTTACAAATCACTTTTACTTTTTTCGCATAGTCAATCTTTGCCAAAGATAAAAAAGATGCAATAATCAACCAAATTGTTATATTTTATTGAAAACTTTCTCCAGACCCAATAAAAAAGAAGACCTTGTGAGGAATTTGTGTGTACTATTGGCAGAGCTATTGTACGCAATACTTTCATCTGGCAGAAAAATGTTTCTCCTGTTTCCCAAGTTCCCATAAAGGAGAATATTTTTTTGCAGCTCGGTAAAGGATGGCAAAAGAGGGCGCCGTTCAGAAGCTTGAGCATAAATGCGTTTTTAGATAAGAAAGGCTTTGACTTTTATTATATATTAATGCTTATCAGAAGGCATAATCGGATGTTTCCTGTGCTAAATGAAAATGTATAGAAAAAGAATTTATTGGAGTTCAACAATCTTTTGCAGTATTTGATTTTGCTTAGCGAAAAGAGGATTTCAATTAGCAGGCGTGTTAAAAAGAGCAGAAGAATTTAAAAGTGGATTATTCACATCACAGATGAAGAAAAACTCTGACCATGCATTATCTGTGTATCAAAATCTGGGAACAAATCCTATTTCTTGAAGTATAAATTTGATAAACTGATTTGCATAAGCTGTATTTGTAAATATGCGGAACGTAATGATTGTAAGTATTCTGCTAGTAAGTACATAAAGCCTGGAGGGTCTTTACCAGATCAAGTGGAGCTGATGCCATTTGGCTTTTTGTATGAACAAGGCTTAAAGGAGAACTGACACGCAAAAATAACTTTGGCTTATTCGATGCAAAATTTGTCGCTGACTTCAAATCTGCAAAAAGTTTTCTTCTAAGATTCGCCGTTTTTCTGATATTTGCACTTTTATCCGTCAATTACGTCACAGCCAGGACTCGGGAATTTCCCGAAGCGGAAACAAGATTATCGCCAGGAGTTGTTAAAATTCTCGGTTGACGTCACAAGTGACATGTTAACAATGCCGTTGTAAAGGCTTTCACCGCAACGGTAGAAGTACAAATGAAGTTTCGTGTTTTATTGAAAATAGTTTGCGATAAAAAGACAAAAAATTGTTAGGCATTTAATTTATAAGTATAAAGAAGCTAGAAAATCCTAGCTACATATCTGATAAGACGCTAATATCCACATAAAATTTATTTTTATGCCATGATATCTTCGAAGCAGCATGCTCCGAAACATTCAAAGAACCTCAAAGCTTGTGAAAAAGGAGTCGACTTTGTTTGAAAACTGATACCGTTTCTTCAAAGTTTTTATTTTTACAATTACAAATAAAACCGCAATATGGGGGTGGGGGGGGGTTGGGTTGAAGCAATAGCCAAAAGACAAACGAAATCTAGTGGAGACAGCGGTAAAAGTGATCCTGCAGCCTGCTTAGGGTGCAGAAATATGAATTCAAGAAAAAACCTTGTTTGATGGGAGCTGCGAGTGTGACTAAATAATAATTTCACTGATCTTGATTATTGTATTTTAACAGAGGTTGAGATACTAGGGAATAATCTAGTCTAGAAAAAGACCATCCCCCACCCAAGTCAAAATTGTTTGCAAAAGAAGATAATGCGCCAGTTGATATTCCTATGACAACTAAACAGCATTTTTTCGACTAAGAAATCAAGTTCTTTGGCTAATAGCTAAGAGCCTATTTCGTAAATCCAGATTTTTCGACTGCCAGGTAACTTATCAGTTCCCGAAACCCTTCACGCCCGGTGAAAATGGCATATAATCCGCACAAGTCGACTTTTAACCCGCCTTCACTATTCAATATCACTATACAGTTAACGCGTTTGAAACATTGAAAAACAATCATAGAATGTTATATTAACAATTAATAACTTGCAGTTCCGTTTAGGGCATCATGGGCATTTTAGCCAATTTAGGCCATACAGACAAAGCAGTCTAGACAAAGACGCCTCAATCTGAAATAAAATTCTAGTTTTACGATACCTGATCTCATTTAGATTGTAGTTATAGCATTGTTTTTAATAGAAATTCCATATCAGTTTGTACTTCCAGTCTGTTCTTTGTCCATAACATCGTTACTGTTGAGCCATGGGACGACTCACGACTGTCTGCCCAAGCGGCAGCGCTGGTTGGCAGCAAAAACTCAGACGGCTGAAACTCTCCATTTGTTTCGAAATCAGTGTAATAAAACTCCGATTCAGAGTCCCAAACCATTGAAAAAGTCAATTTTGTGTCAAAATTGCAAAATTAGCTCCTTTCACATGCACAAAATAAACATTTGCCCGCAGCATTTTGTTAAAGGTTTCTATAGAGAAACACAATACGTGCTGAGAACATGTCACTTGTGACGTCAAAGATGATCGCCCACTCGTGACGATTTTCGCCTCGAGTCTCAAGTTGTCGGAACAATTGTCGTTTCTCAACTTAAAACGCTTGTATTTCAAAAACGGTAACTGTGATTTAAAAAATTCTTTCTATCCCGGAATTTGCTTGTCACAAACTACCGTTTTAGCCAAACTTATTTTTGCGTGTCAGTTCTCCTTTAATACATCCATTCATCCACTAGCAATCCTTTAAAAACAAACGAGGATAGGCATATTTTGATATTTTGATGTTGTTTCTTTCACAGAGTAACAATCGTTGTAACCTGGCTGTTGGCTGGAGCTGTCATTTCGATTAATCTTTATCTGGTCGTGGACAGCATGGTATACATACCCTGTTTTAAATTTGGCTTCTTTGATTTATTTTTTTAGAAATCCTGCGATTAAACTCCGACTTACTCTTTCACTCTTGATGTTTCTACTCTGATCTTGTAATATTTCTACTCTGAGCTAGAGTAATGCTTGTCCGGCAAACTGCAAATAGTATCACTAAAGTTGAGGCCACTAAATTTTGGAAAGAATTTTCATGACAAAGTATTGTTTTTTGTTTATGTAAATGCTGAGCTTATTGAAAAAATAGCACGGCTTTTGCAATGTACGAAGAATGTGGAGGAATGGTACTTCGATATTATGAATTGGCGATGTGGACAAAACTGATGATGATGATGATTGATGATGATGATTGATGATTGATGATTGATGATGATGATGATTGATGATGATTGATGATGATGATGATTGATGATTATGATGATGATGATTATAATGATGGTGATTATGATGACGACGATAACAATGATGACGACAACGAAGACTCCAAATGTATTAAAAGTCTGAACTTTTCTAGATGCGCTTCCAGTCTGTTTCCCAGACAACTAAGAACCTTTATGTTTTATGAGAATGCCTAAAAAACGGCGGCACAAGCTATGACGCAGCAACTTTACACAACTCATATATTGGGGCTCTGTGAGTGGGACCTAACTGGGATTTTGTTTTTTTGATATGACGAAGGACATTTTTTGCTTGATAGCATAACACGAAAAATTATTTTTATTCGGTTGCTTTATCAAAATGCGTTTCGCATATTTACAGTTTCTTGATAAACGGCGAGAACTGCTATGACGCAGTAAGTTTACAAACCCGGATCTTTGGATTCCACTATCAACCTTTGCAGAAGGAGAAATCGATGCGTGCCTAACGATCTCTAACGACCCGCGCTGACAAAACGGTTCCAGCATAATGATCTCGCGGCAGTGCAATTACTTGATTACGAAGGGGAATCTTTCGTACGTAATTGTGAGCAGCCAAACTTTTAATTTCGTAAACTTCCTAGTTGCGAGTGCAAAGATTTCTTTAATTCGGCAATTGAACCGTTTGATTAAGAAATGTAGTCACAGTTCCCAAAATGATTAATTGATCATTCTCGTAACTGTTAGTCTGACAGACTTTTAACAAATTCCCGTTGTTTCTATGTTTTTCCTACACCAAACTACCTTATCCAACGGGGTCTGAAGAATTTGGAATGAATTTTGGATAAACCCTAGAGAAAACTGGAAAGTACCTGCAAGCATTTTGCGACAATTTTGCATAGCCTGGAAACTTTCGAATAACTTTCACCGACTTTGCAAAACTTGCGAAAAACTAAACAGATTTCTGATACTTGCAATATATTCGAATTTCCCGCCCTTGCTTCAGACTCTTTAAATGTCCCGAGTTCCTTGCATGAAAGTTAATTCTTGCAGAAACTCGTGAAACGTGAAATCGCATATTCCCGCACTTTCTTTTGTATCCCACATAGCAAATTGCAAATTATACGTCTAATTACGTTGACGCTTGACAGGATGAAAGCACCATTCTCGATTACGAGAAGTTTCTGATCTATTCTGGCTACCGTTCAACATGCACGTGCAGAACCAATTTTAACTGCCCAACGTCACGAGCAAAACTAAAAGTGATTGGTCGAATCTAAGAGGATGACCACAAAGGGGATCTCAGGCTAGCAGCCGAACCCAATTTAATAGCACGATTATAGACCTAAGTGTCGATTAGCGAACCTCAATTGACCACTTAATCGGGAAACTCACGATTCTCGATTGTTCGTTTGGGAAAATTGGGAAAATCCTTTGATTTTGGCATTCTATGCCTGCATTGTTTCGATTGTCTCCCGCCTTTGAATTCGGCTTCTATGTTTCCATTGTTGAACTCATCAAAATGCCGATCCATTGTTACACAATTGGCAACAATTCTACATATATATATATATATATATATATATGGATGCCCATCGAGCCGAGCAAAATCCCCCCTTCATGTACTCATTCTTCGTACATAAAAATGCGTCATATGCGGCCTAGATGAGCTCAAGTATGTTTAATAGACGGGCAAACTTCAATTATCATTCCACCGCAGGAGATGTCTGTCAAGGTAGTAGAATTAATCTGGTGATTACACTGATAAATGTTTGTTTATGAACAGGAATTTAACTGAGCTTTGTCTAAGGATAAGTATATATTTTAATGAATTTGTTATTTAATCACTGCAATCCATTTAGGCTTAACGAAAATCGTTTTTGACTTAATTTTTTATCTTATTTTCCTAATAAAGTCTGGTTTCACAAATAAACTATTGTTGATTGGAATCGTACCACTGATGGTGATATGGATTATCTTCTACTTAATACTGGTATGATTTACCGATATTCCTGTGTATAATATATTTTCATGGTAACGATTTTTCATATCATCATTCTTCTCAAATGCATGTATACGTTGTCTTTTTTCATTAAAACTCTGTTTTCAAGAATCTTGCTTCGATCTACACATGTTTTCTACATGATGTTCCATGAGATTTTCCGTTTATCCTTTAAATGTGAATTCTACTTGTACTTCCCTCTTGAGAACGATTTATTTTGCATGAATGGAAATTCAGTTCATTGCCAGATAGAAATAGTTAATGCAAATAGTTTCAGATGTTACAGATGTTAGATATTGTTTTCCCCCTTTGTTAATACTGATTTTCGACTAACGAAAAATATTGACTTTTATATAATGTGAACCTGGCTTATCGCCAGTTATGTTTTCTGTCATATCTATTGGTTCTAACTGACTAAACTATTGAAATTATACTTCTTAACAGTTCTGTGATCAATTTGTTCCTCGGAATATCTGCAAAGTTATAAAATGTTTCATTCTTTGTGCCGTAGGCCTACTATGCTGCTGGATTTCAATTTCTTGAAAGATTTAAGG